TTTTAGAAATAAAAAGAAAATTTGAGTTTTAAATTTTATTATTGATTTTTTTTAAATTTTCATATGAAGAACTTCTCTGGTATACTTTGTAAACTATGTATAGAATTAATCAGATACGTTGAGAAATAACATGAAATAACTTAATATTAGCCTATATACAAAGGATTTAAAAAATAATTAGTGAATTTTCTACTTTTTTGTTCTTTTATTGTTTTGAGAACTGTATCTAATTTTTATTTAACTTTTGTTAGTTTTATATATTATTTTATCCAATACTATATTTTTTTTTTATCATTATTTTATCTTACATCATATTACATCAAATTTATATAATTCTACATACTGTATAAATATGTAGAATTTGATTACATGTTTTCGTTGTGAATTATAAAAGATATGTCAAACTATTTTTAAGAAATATTTTAATTTTATGATTATGTTGGTCATAATATATAAATTAAAGCCATAAAAATTATTTGTATTGCTTAATCTAACATTACAGTTATTTTGTGTTGAAACTAGTCGTTGAATTCTATATAATTCCAGGATTATTAATAAACTTATTAAATTTTGCTGTTTTCATTTTTGTTACTTGTTTAAAAACTTTTTTCATAATCTGTTGACTAAATCAGAATTTAATTTATATGATTCTAAAATGTTTTTGTTTCAATATATGTTTATTAAAATATTGTATTCTCTTAGAGCTCTTTCTGTGTACCAAAACATCAACTAATATTATAAGTGTTTATGAACAAAATTATAAGTTTTGTTCATAATTATATTATAATAGAAGAAGATTCTTCTTCATATTCATTTAATTCTCTTAGATTAGAGAAATGACCTGATAATAGCTAAGGTTATTTATTTTTTAAACATTATTTGCATTTTGATGAATTTTAAAACATTAGAAGGCAAAAATCCAATAAAATTGAGAAGAAAAATATAAGAAATGTTAATATGATTATTGTATTATAAATTAAGTATAGACATTTTATGCAATCCAGTTTTCAGTATTCCATAGAGTATTATTACTGTAATAAAAGCAAAAGATGGTCCAATGAAATATCAAGGAAATACTAAGGTAAAGGAATTATTGTATCATTTTATATTATGTTTAATAATAATTAATAATATTTTGCAATTTATATAATTTTAATTTTATAGTTTTGTAAACATTGCAAAATATTCATAATTTTTATAATAATTATGTATATTATTACTATGTTTAAATTTTACTATGTTAAAATTTGTGCAATCACAGGTTAATCCTGGATCATCCATGTATGAGTAAATGTGAAGTATCAGATTTCACAAAGATAAAAATTTTTTTATGTTTTAATAATTGGTGCTAGTTGTGTGAAAATTTGATTTTAAGAATTTATTTTATTTTTATTTATTTATTTATGTATTTATTTTTTTGTGAAAATGTTTAAAATTATTGATTTTTTTTATTTGAAATAAATGTTTTTGAATAGATCTAATATATGGATTCTATTGTATATTTCTGAGAATAAATGTGTGAATTATATTTTGAATAATATATGGTTTCATATGTATATTTAAAATCTCTCTTTAATTTGGCTATTTAGTAGCATGCATGATAAATGCATTTATATATTTTATCTATTTAATTTGTGTTGAAGTTTCCAGTGCTGGTTGCCAGTGATTTGATGCTATTTCCTGAAAATGTTTGGTTGTTAGAGTGAATGAGTTGCTTTTTATTCAGCATAGAGTTACTTGCACTATTAATTTCAAAGGAAGATTATAATTCATTTAAATACAGAACTTACCTAAAATCTGCATGTGAATGACTTTACACTTGATAAAATATCTAGGTTGCTGGTTTTAATTGTATTAAATATGAAAGACTAAGTTAGGTCTTTACCGATACCTAACTGTTAACTAGTTACTTAATCCTGAGGTTATGAGCAGATCTATTGCTCACCAACAACCATAAGGATTTAGGTGCTTTTACTATTTTAATTTAATTAAAAGAGAGATTACTTAATATTGCTATTGTATGATATGATGATGATGTTGAATGTTTATTTAGATGTTTTATTCTAGTTTTTAATATCTTTTAACAGTTTTTCAATGCAGTATTTAATACTTTTATAAATTGATTATAATAAACAAAATATCAGATTTCCAAATTTTTATTTAATTTTAAAATGAGGTGAGCTGTCTTTTTTATCTGATCATTTTTTCTACTGTTATCTTAATGATGAAATTTCAGATTGCAAATATATCTATCTTTGTGTGCCACAAAGGTAATAATTTCTGTCTAAAAAGAATAGAATTTGTATACTCTTCCCAGTCTGGTTTGGCCCACCAGACTGGGAAAACCACAGAACACTGGTAGCTGGTTATGAGTTTGTGTGTCTACACCTAAATAGGGGCCAGTTTCCCATAAAAGTCCTTCCATGAGGAACTCCCCATCTTGGCAGATTGCCTATGTGTTATGTTACATTATACCATCAATCCAATTTAATCTGGATTGAAAGTACCTTAATATCAAAGTGTGATGTTACTAGGATACTGATCACAAATAGGAAGTTATAACTTTGATCAATTTTGATTTGAAATTGAAACCAGCTTATGCAGTTATGTTCTGACAACATTAGAAGAGGCTAATTAGCTTATCAGGATTCAATAATTAATAAACAAAAGAAGAAAATTCATAACATGGCAGCAGCATCTTGATTTACTGGAATTATAGTTGAATCCCATTCTAAACCATACTTCACAAATTAATTATTGAACTATTGAAAGTTAATTTATCAGTGAAGTATGATTTCATCAATAGCAAATTTGTAGAATTTAGGATTCCCATATTTCTTTAGTTTCTGTTTAAAATTTTGATCTTTTTCTGAAGAATGATCAAGACTTATTCTCTTCCTTATCTTTAAAACATGGAAGTTCAGTTACTTGGAAAATGACAGATATATTTCTTTTCTAATTATAAAAAAATATTCACATCCTATTTTAATAAAATAAAAGGAGAGAATTTTTTTGTGAGAATTGTGCCAAATTCTTTAGGAATTTATAATGGTGTTAATTATGTCTTTATCCTGAACAATTTTTATACGAAACAAATTTTCACAAGAGAGATTATTTGTAATTTTTGTTGATCTCAAGCAAGCATTTGATAGAACCTCGTTCATTGTGTTAACCTTTTGGTAAACTCTGGATAAAACCCTTTTTCCTAAATATAAACTGAGCATCATAAAACTATCAGTTAAATTTAATGCTTTTGGCTTCACTTGAAGTATTCCATCTGACTCAGATAACTTTGAAAAGTTTTTTGAGTTCCATTCTCTTTTCCTTTTATATTAATAATAATGTTAATGATCTTAATAGTTTGTTTTAGTTGGAGTTTAAACTTTATAATGATACAGAGCTATACATCCTTTTTTTTATGCTGCTGATATTGTGATCCTTGCCCTCCAACTCAAGATTGATATGTTAAACAATAAAAATATTCAAGTGACTTCTACTATTCATTAAAACAAACTAAATAGCTATACAAAGTAAAAAAAAAATTTTTCAGTAAAAGAAATTAATTTCCTTAAGTAAAAATGATTTTTGGATAAATTACCAATTGTGAAACCATCAAGAGCAGTATATATCAATATATTGTGTTTTTTTTTTTTTTTCAAGTTCTGGATCATTTAATCAAGCAAATACATTCACAGTTGATCCATTCGAGCAATATATGCTATTAAGTCAATCTTGACAAGAATAAAACTTATCTCAATTAATCCCATATTTAAATCCTTCAATAATTCTCTTATTTTATTGACAAATTCTTATGGCTTGTCTTTAAAATTGGGGTTTATTGATAAATGCAAAACTGAAATACAGCTTCTGTATCTTTGCAAAGAAATTACTTAACTATAATTGCTTCACTTTATGTTACATTCTGCAACTGGAGCTGAGATACACTGTCATCATTATTAAATGCGTGTTGTGCTGTTGCACCAAACTTCAGGAATGCCTAAAAATATATTTTCTAGCAAGTGTTACTTCAAGTAGTTAAATAATAATTTAAATAATAATATGCACATATCTGATAAGAGATACAATTAAACTATGCATATCAAGCAAATTCTCACAGATATAATTTTTTTCCTTTGTTTGAGAGGGTCAAAATTGGATATTGCATAGCACTTTGTCTTATTCATTCTGAAGACTCAGAAGTAGCAAAAAGATGATAACTTGTTATCAAATACTAAACTCAAGTTAGTTTTTAGAATTCAATATTATGTTATTGAATAGTGGAAATAAATATCTAATGTAAATTTTTAAGAAATGGCATTCATACTAAATAATAATCAGTAAGTAATGTGCCATTTGAAGTTGAAAGTAAGTTTTGTACAGTTACAAATAAATCCTTTTGGCCTTCACAATTCCTCTGGGTTTGGAGGTTTGTACCTTTTTTTGTTAAATAATAATAATGCTGTTATTATTATTAATTAAATGTAATAAATTTAATTAATTAAATGTACTAGTAATAATAATTATTAGTGTTGTGGTTATTTTTGTATTTTTGAGAATTTATGGTGCCATGATAAAATTGTTGCTTTTATTTACAGCTTAATGTTTTCTTTATTGTTTGACATTATGACTAAAATGATTAATGTTGCTTATTTTTTGTGAGCATTACTGCATTAGATATGCCTTTTTTGGATTTCATCAAAAAATCTTAATAGAATTATTTATATTTATCTTTTGAGAAAGCATTATTTTAGAAACGATTTTATTTATTTTAAGCAGGTTATATATCTATTACATGTTTATTTTTTGTATTATAAACTTAGATATTTTAGTTATTCATTTCAATATTCTGTTATAAAATTAGGATTTTGTGTTAATTAGAAATAAATTTTATTTGATAAAATTACCAACTAAATTTCCTTAAAAGATCTTTAAAAGTGCATACATTTTTTAAAATAGTTAATAAGTTGTATTTGAGAAGAAAATAATTTATGTAATTGCAGGTATTGTGTAAAACTTCCAAGCGATACTTTTACTAAGTTAACTCCAAAGTGGAAGATAAAAGAAATTTTTTTTGAAAATTCATTTATAGGTTATCAGTGTATTATACGACTTCCTATAAATTCTCCAATGAAAATTCCAGTTAATGTAAGTATGTTCTTAATTATTTATATTCAGATAACGTTATTAAAATTGAATTTCATAAAATGAAATATTGTTGTTTTATATAATAGGGAGATGTTATGCCAAAAAAACAATTAGCTAAAATGGCAGCTGCTTTAAAGACTTGTGAATTATTACATAAAGCAGGTATATTAATTTTAAGTTATATTACAATAAGTATTTTTAATTTAATTAATTTTATAAAGTACTTCAGAATTATGTTAAAATATGAAATGCAGTAATATGGGATGGCCATAATTAAACTTTCCTATTTGAAATTTTCTAGTATCTGACAATCAGAATGACACTAAAATTGGGAGGTATAGTATACAGGACATGGGAAAAGTATTTTACGAAAACATTTTAGTTTCAAAATTTTCCTGTAGAGGTGTTCTTGACTCCAAAGAAAGAAAACTTTGCATAAGATTGATTTGTTTCTCTTTTTGTTGGTACCCAAGGGCTATAAATGTTGCAGTCAAACTGTTCCAAGCACATCTTATTGGTAGTTATTATGAACATGATTGATTATGCATTAATTATGTAGTAATTTTATGAAAATGGGTATAATGCGGCTGCAGCTCTTTCTGAGTTTAGACATTATAAGAGTTTCGTTATATTAACATTATGCTAAATAGTGAATATACTGAAAAATGAATATGTGTGATAAAAACAAATTATTGCTATGCTATTTAAAACTGGCTATATTATTCTATTCTTTCTAAACTGGTTTTATGAAAACAAAGATCTTATTTATAAATCAACACTTGCAGATGGAGTCACCATATCTTAAAATTTTTAAAATTTTAAGAGATGGTGACTCCATCTGCAAGTGTTGATTTATAAATAATTTAATATTAATTAATAAATAATTTTTGGAATATTTAGAAAATATTAACTCAAAATAAAATTCATACTTGTTATTATTGTAAATTGGGAAAATATATTACGTCATTTTGAGTTTTTGATTTAATATCAATTTTAGATACATTGAATTATATATGATAATATATTAATATATAAAATATTACAATGAATATGAAGAAAATATCTTAGTAAGAAAAATATAAAATTAAACCAATTGAAATAATTCTTTCATAATAAAAAACTATAGTCTATTTCAGAATAGTTGACATCTAATGTAAATAAATTGATAATCAAGCAGTTTTGGTGTCACTCTATCATTGTAATAATCTGCATTCATTATGTTAATAAAATTACATTTTTAGATTTGAATAAATATTAAAATAACTTCTCTATTCTTAAAGAAATTTAATTTAAAAAATATTTATAATCTACTACATTTTTTTTTAACTCTTGATTTATTATATCAAGTTAGAAAGAAAAATACATCATTTAGTTATTACAAAGGATGTAGATATCTGAATTGAATTTATAAAGTATATACAAAGGTTTATTTTGAGAAATTGAAACTTATATTTAAAATAAATGCAGTAGTTGGCACTTATTTGTGATCAATAGTTAATGTTATCAGCCACTTAATGTAAATAAAATCTGTTTTCCCAAATCAGTTCTATATTCCTGTGTAAAATGTTGCTAGTTATTGTGATCAAATTAAACTTATGCATTTATGACATTTATAAATGACAAATTAGGATTAGTTTAAGATAACTTTTCAAAAGTATTAACTTTCTTGAAGTACAGGGTGCAGCAGAAAGAACATTCTGATTTGGAACGACAACAAAAAAAAATACAAAGCAAGATAGAGAAAGAAATCTTTTATACCTGATAAGTACACAATATGCCATTGTCATCCATTAGGTTTTGAAGAGTACAGTACATCAGTTAAATGGCGACCGTCAATGTCAATGCAGTTTTGAAATCTCTTTTGGAAATTTTACATTGATCTGCAGACCATATCCAGTGGAATTGTCATGATTTCTTGCATAATTGCTGCCTTGAGTTGCAAATTTGTTGGTCAGTGTTGGAACACTTTTGATTTGAGATAGCCCCACAGAAAAAAAATCACATGGGGCCAAATATGGCAAATGCAGCGGCCAACCAATTTCACCCCATAAAGAGACAAGATGGCCCGGAAACAAGTTTCTGAGAATTCCGAATGACCTTCTAGAGGTATGTGATGGGGTGCCATCTTGCTGAAATCATACATCTTCCAGATCATGATCGTTGAGTAAACCATTAACTAATGGATGGAGAAAATTCTCAAGCAATTCACAATAGTGTTCTGACGTTACTGTCACTGTAACACTACTCTCTTCAAAGAAATAAGGACTCCACACAGCGAAATCACCTAAGGCACACCAAACCATAACTTTTGGACTATGGAGTGGTCGCTGGTGGAGTTCTCGGGGATTACTGTCAGACCAGTACCCAAAGTTCTGTTTGTTGACCATCCCCGATAAATGAAAATGTGCTTTGTCACTGGAGATCAGTACAGCTGTTGGGGGAAATGCTCTGCAGAATATCCTGACACAAAGTTTTATGGATTGGATAGTCCCTATCATTCAACTCCTTAAAGACCATCATTTTGTAGGGATGCATGTGGAGTGAGCTATGTAAAAGTCTGCGGAGACAATGATCAGACATGTTTAATGCAGCTGTGTGTTTGTGTGCAGATCACTTGGGAGACTGCTGTATGGATGCTCTTGCAGCTGCCACATCTTCCGGTCTTGTTACACTTCTAGGGCAGCCAGGACTCTTTTTTTTAAAGCTGAACCTGTTTGTCTAAAATTTGAAACCCATTCTCGGCGTCACGATCCGGTTCCAGCTGTACCTAAAATTTGAAACCCAACTCGGGCGTCATGATCCGGTTCCAGCTGTACCAACAATTCGTCGTCCAACGACGAATTGTTGGTACAGCTGGAACCGGATCATGACGCCCGAGCTGAAAGCGTATTCGGAAGGCCTGTTGCATTATTATCACAGATTCACCGTTCATAACAAACTCTTCAACAACAAAAGCACGTGCTCTCCATTCCACACTATGATGGTAACTAAAAATGGCATACTCAAACAAATGAAAAGAGACCATGCCCACTGCTGTATTTCTGCTATAAGTGAAGCAACAAATCAGAACATTCTTTCTGCCACACCCTGTATTATTTAATAATTATTTTTGCTATTTTTTAAATATGAATCTGACTGTAGATTTATTAAAGAGTGTTTTGTGCCAGTTGGTATTTCACCAATTGATATCTGCTGTTCTGAATAAGATACCTTTAGAACATCAAAAAGTTTAAATAAACAAACATTGGAATTATCATTGTAATACTCTATTTTTATTTATTAATATTAATTTAGATTTCCTTTATTTTATGTAGTTTTACAATTATAATTTATTGAATTATTGTAATTTATTGAAAGATTAATTTGCTATTCTATTATAAAACAGAGGTATCCAACTTTTTGTTGCTGTGATTCACTCTTATTATATTCACACTAGTTGTGATCTACTGTTGGAAAAAAATGATGTTACTACATAAGTTAAGTTTATAGTAACATCTCTCCCAACTGTGACCTACTACTATATATATACTGTATGAACAAGTATTAATCTTTTCTCTCGTTCGTGGTGTAATATTGAAAGTAATTTAATAAGATTTTTTAATTCAATAAAAATATAAGTGTTATGAAATTGTGAATAACAAATACTATGGTAATCAATTGAGAATTTTTTTGAGATTGACCTGTTGATTGTGATTGACTGCAGGCAAACTAGGTGAATGATGAAGGGATGCAAACTGCAAGATATGCTTTATTCATACTTTACTAAAATAACAACATTGTGATACAGTCGACCCACCCTATAATTACGGTCCCTATAATTACGATTCCTATAAAACTACGAAAAAATATACGTATTTTGGAAATGTTGAGGTGGATTAGTGTAGAATCGATTAATTTTATGGAAGAAAACCTTTCAATCAGTCGTAGTCCGTAAACTTGACATGTGTCGGGCTGTGATTAGAACGACTTGTAAGAAATCGGATTCCTAATAAATTGGAACGTATCTATATCTTATAGGGGAGTCGATTGTATATGATTTAAGTATTGATTATTTTTTCTTATCCCTCATAATATTTTACTATTTAACTCTTGATTCTATTTTTGTTGCATACCTAAATGATTTGATTGTTTGTTTGATTAAGGCAACACAATATGTGGGCAGTGCCTTCTAGGAGGACTTTCTAAGGGAAGCTGGTCCCTATTTAGGTGTTACAAATGTGAAAAAATCCAGGAAACTCCATATGGCCAGCCATTTGGCGAGGTGTGAATCCTCAACTAACTACCAGTGTTCTGTGGTTTTATCCACTTGGCCACTGGTTGGCTAAATGATTTTTACTTATACTATTTAATTATTCTGGAATTTGTTGTTTGATATGTTCTAGTGTTGTTTGTGGTATAAGATTGTTACGTATAATTGTTTTTTTTTTTTATCAACAATCCTTTGTACAGTGACTATGAGATGAGCATAATGTGAAAACAAGTGATGTAACTGTTGTTTGTATGATGTCAAGTCTGTTTCAAGTTTTGTGATGGTGAAGTACGGATGATAAACTCATTCATTTCTGATGTCCATTTCATCCATTGATGTGGTTTACCTGCCTTAGTGGTCTGTGGTTGGATTACTTCAGAAACATCAGAATTAGGCTGGTTTCCCACAGCCGTTGTGGGCATTGCAGTAACCATACTTGGACCAATGCTGCTTTTACTTCTAGTGGTCAAGGGAAACTGTGACGAATTTTTCAAACTAAGCCTCTGCCTAACTCATGAGTGTGGACTTTGTTAACCTGGGCAACATGCGAGCTGGTATTAAACTTGGATCATATTATCACCATGGTTAGATCTCCACATATGTGGGTTCAGTCACTCTTGGCTTCATTTCTCCCCACGTACTTCACTGACATGGGTGACCTTACTAGAAACAATGCTCTAGCTGGCATAACTCTGTGGTTCATCAGAATTACTGAACTCTCTCACCACAGCAAGATGGTTACTGGCAAGAGAGTTGTTGTTTTTGTGTTGTTGTTGTTATTAATTTCCTACTTGGCTTACATAGTAGTCCTAATGCAATGCCAGAGCAAGATCAGTGATGGCTCATGGTTGTGTAATGTGGAGGTACAGTAAATACAACTACTACAGTAGACCCCCCTATAAAATAGATTCATACAATATGGATTCATATATAATGGTGAAAAAAATGCGATTATATTCATATAAACATGCTAAAAGAGACTCATATGATACAGTAAAACATCATCGCCGACTCGTGTCACAACAGGATTGATCAAATCTAGACCAATAGCGGATATTACACAAACCGTTGAGTTTAAATGAGCAGCAGATCTACTAAAAACCATTTATTATTTAATGGCCATAAAAATTATATTTATATTAATGATGTCCGCAAAGTTCAGCAAACTTTTCGCAGAAAAATAATTTATCAGGAAACACGTGCCCACCATTTGATGTGCCGCTCCACAACGAAAACAAGCTTAAGCAATGGCATTGTCGAACAGTGCACACTCAGTAAGTAATCCTACAATTTTTTGTTTATAGCATAGTTTATATGGATTATTCCCAAAAAATTATAAGTGTTTTGGAAATGTTGAGTCAAATTAGTCTAAAATCAGTTAATTTTATGGAAGAAAATTTTTCAAACAGCCGTATCCATAAACTGCATACGTGCTGGGCTGTGATTGGCTCATGTATTTAAGGACTCGTACAACATGAATTTTATAAAACATGGAATATATCTACCGTGTTATGGGGGGTCTACTGTGCTTTTAAAACCTCAATATATGAGGGTGGTTTTTTTCAACCTCTGATGGTCCATAAAACAAAGACAAGTGTAAATAACAAAATGAATTTATTACCAAAAGTTAGGTAAAAACATGATTATTTTTCAACATAATCAACATGAAAGTTGAGGCATTTGTCATATCTGTGGACGAGCTTTGCAATCCCCTCTTCATAGAATGTTGCCACCAGTGACTTGAGATAGGCCTTAACGTTGTTTTGAAGATTGTCATTAGTCTCGAACCTCTGCCCTCCTAGCCATAGTTTTGGTTCAGGGAAAAGGTGGAGGTCTTCACACATTAAAGGTGTGAAGACTTCCACCCAGCTTGGAACTTTTTAAACACCCAGTGTATAGCTCTGATTTAGTGCTGAGTGACTTCCACTTTCCACTTTCCATAGATTCAGGTTTAATTCATACTTTCTCTTCTTTTCCAAGAAGCACTAAATTTACAGGCACTAACCCTGCACAATGGCCATGCATTCCCAAAATCAACACTTCTAAACTAGTAGGGAAACACTGTATGTGAACACTTACATATTACCAGATTGCTCTCATTTTATTTCTATTCTCTCAGACATTTACACACTAGTCTATGCTGGTGCAGTTACAGTAGTGATTTACCATGGACTAAAACTACATCCATAGAAACACACAAATTAAAAACCCTTCTGAAGCCTGCCTGGCAAAGAAGAACAGAAACACAAATAAACAATGTTAGACAGCAGCTAGGCAGGCTGACACAATATGCTAATAACAAAACAACACCTAAATTAATGAAATAACTAAAAAAAATTTTCAAGAAAATTAAAACACACATCAAGCACAAACAACACAATGTCCATATTACAGAATACATTGACACACTCAAACAACCTTTCAACCAAAGCACAATGATTCAAACAATACAAATTTTGCTCTGTATGGAAACAACAAAATAAATTATTCACAAACAATGAAAAACTCTTTTACAGGCAAATTTTAATACCAAATCCACTACTGATTCCCAACACAATGGCATGCCACTGAAGAAGAACACTCAAATTATTGGTTTTCTCTTTGGTCTACTGTTGTCATGCACAATGCTGAAGTGCAATGGATCAAATAGGAGAGAGAAGACATGCAGGACACACTTAGTATGCATTGCTTTGAAATAAATACACAAGACATCTGTTGCGCAATGCAGAAAGCACACAACTGGACAGCACCTGGTGTAGATAACATTCACAATTTCTGGTACAAAAAATATGCATCCTTGCACCAGGAACTAGCTAAAAATTTTACTCATATCATCATCAACCCACAAGACATGCCAAATTTCATCACACAGGGCATCACCTATATGAAACCAAAAAACAATAGCATTAAAGACCCTGCATAGTACAGACCAATTACATGTCCTCCAACCCTTTACAAGATTCTTGCCACTGCAAACAAAATATACAATTATATTGATGAAAACAACATTCTTACAGAACAACAAAAAAGTTTCCTTGGAAATCACAAAGGTTGCAAAGAACAACTACTCGTTGATTCTGTTATCCTATGGCAAGTTTATAAGCAACACAAACATACACATGTCGTACGTTGACTACAGAAAAGCATTCGACAGTGTCCCACACACTTGGCTGCTGCACACACTTTGCATCTACAAAATGCTCATTAGTTCCCTTGGTTTTACCATGCTTCACTGGAGAACAACATTACATCTTAACCTCCATAACACTCACATAAAAACAAATCAAATATACATTGAGCAAGGAATTTTTCAAGGGATTCCTTCAGTCCATTTCTGTCTTGCGCTTAATCCTTTTTTTAACACATTGAACAAAACACAATATGGTTATAATGTCAGACACAAAAAAACAACACTGTTCACATTATCAAACCTCATGTACATAGACAATATCAAGCTTTATGCATCCACACAAAATCTACTTCATATCTTGCAAACTACATGCACTTATTCAATTATTTGCAAATGAAGTTTGGTCTAGACTAGTGGTTCTCAACCACTGTGCTGCGGCACTTTAGTGTGCCGCCACTGTGAATACCCATACATAAGTGACAAATTATTGATTTCACAGTATAAACTAAATGATAATTTTTTTCTGATACTTGTTTAAAAAATTATACAAGTTCATTTTCTTTTTTTGATGAATCATCATCTTCATATGATTCTGAATGTTACCACAGTGTTACCAGTTAGAATTTCCAAACAGAAAAATTATTTGTTATTTTAAATTGCATAGAAATGCTACTTTATAGTGTAAAATGTTATATTAATTAGAGTTTAAAAAATAAAAAAATGGTAATGAAATCATTTTTAGTTTTGACTTAATAACAAAATGGTTAAAAATAAAACAAAACATTGGTCAATCAAGCTAAGGTTATCATTTTAAATGTACATAATTATTTTTAGTCATCAAAATTCAGTTTTATAGAGATGAAAAAATTAATGAGTCTATAGCTTGTTAGGATGATAATTGTGCAATATCTTAGCTGACAAAGTTTTCTGAAATGACATTCTTATATACATGGTGGGTGAAAAATAACTAGGTGTTGAGGAATTGCTGTAATTTCTATATTTCTAATGCAAAGGTGATGAAAATTACTTGGTATGTAGCTTATTAAATGGAAATGATGCATATGTTAAAATTCAATGTATGCTCCATCACCGTCCACTTTCTCAAACGACTGGGGATCCACTTATCTGTGTCTGCAACAGAACCTGTGTTCATTAGCTTCAAATGACAATTATTGATTTTTCCAGATGGATTATGGCATGATGTCTCTTCATCATATGGAAATCAGTGGTTGATGTCATGCACATCAGCCACTGATTTCCATACTTTAGCATGCAGCAATCTGCACTTGCTCCTGAACATACAAATGGTTAGTCATCTTTTTGACACTGCATGTGGTCTCTTTTGGTGGTCATTGCCCACACCACCAATGTGGGAATTATAAAATTCCATTGATTGATGTACATGCACACACAAATTCTATTATGATAGCATCATTATTATTAAAAAAAAATAATAGTGATTGCTCAATGCCTAGTTACTTTCCACCAACCCTATAGACAGAGGATAATTACTGGACATTTATCAATTTTTAAGATACAAATTTAAATAGGAGTATTTAATAATATCAGTTATAACCTGGATTGAATAAACAGAAAATGAATGGGCAAGAACTAAAGATAAGTATCTTTTATTTATTTTTATTTGCTTATACATGTCTTTGGTGGTTTGGTGAAAAATTGTAATGACAGATGAATGTTTGTGGGTGTATGAAGGATTTTTCACATTTTCTAAAGATTCTCTAGTCTTAGTGGTTTTAGATAAAGGAAGCTGTTTGATGAGTTTCTAATTGCAATTTAAAATCAGCATTTAACCTATTGCATCAAGTAACATGCATTCTGTTTTCAAAGTGCTTTCAAACATAGATACTCAATGGTAGTCTTCATGAAAATACAGTAATTTATCACATATTGTCTGAAATCTGAAAAGTTAGTTTGTTGGAAGCTAATAAATCAAATTATGTTTAGTCAGTTTAGGATTTTTTAGATTATTTTAAGTTATTTATAATGCAAATAGATAGTTTTTTTAATCGATTTTGAAGATAAAGTTTTTTATTTTATAAATCATAGATGTAATTTATTGCATTATTATATTTTTAATGTTTATATATTTTTTGTTTATTATTTATTTACTTTATATATCTTCTGATTAGGAGAACTAGATGATAATCTTTTGCCAACTGGTAAAGAAGCTGTTAAATTTGAAGAAGAAATGATAGGAGATTATGAAGAAGTACCTCAAGGTGCTCCTCGACCTGGCACCACAAAAAGACGTCAATATTATTTCAAACAGGTTGATAGTTTGAATAATTTAATACCATATTAATTGTTTTTAATAATTATATGTAAATATCTTATAGATAGCAGAAGCTTTAAGAAGTAATCCTCCTGAAGAAAATTTAGAATGCTTTCTATATATGTTTTCTATGAAATTAACTTGTCCAATACCAGAAGAACAGAATACAAGGGGAAGAAAAATTCATGACCCTGCTGAAACAACTTGTGGTTTTGGATTAATCACTACTAAACAAATTCCACCTGTAAGAAATTGTAAACTGTGATAAAGTATTTTTAAATTTCTTGTCTATGATTTTAATATTAATATTAAACTTTGCATCAAATTAATAATTTACTAATTTCTTTATTTTCTAAAACGATGAAAGTTTTGGAAATTATATTCAGTCTTTTTATAGTAAATAAACAGTATGGAGCTGTCCACTAATTACATATATGGATTAATGGTGAGAGGGGAATGTAAAAAATACATCATTGTACATATTGGGGAGAAAAGAGGTTGAAGCATTGTCTATGTGATTTTTTTTAAGTGGTATTAGTGGCATACAAATTTGTTCTTATTAGCCTGCTTACAGTCATGTGAAGAAACTGTCAGTTAGAGAATATTTACAGAACTTTTAAAAGTAATTTCTTCAATGCCAAGAGATACATAAACTATTATAATTAAAGATGACTGGATTTTCCAAAAGTACATCATTGTACACAACAGGGAGGAGCTCAAAAACTGTACATGTAATTAATGGATATCCCTATACAAAAAAGTTTTTAGAAAATTATGTTAGTTTTAAAATTTTTTTCAGTTTCTTTCAGCCAGATATCCAAGCTTTTCAGTGAATTAGATTCACTAAATTTTTATGCAAAAATAAAAGACAAAAAATTCAAGATACAAACTTTAATACCATTGATGAAAATTTTATATTTATATATTAGATCGTGGGTCTTTTACAAATATCATTTTTGTAGACAATATAAATATTCTAATCAATTTCATTAGACAGATTTTTTTATGTGAATTAATTTTTGTCAGATATATTACATGTTTGAAAACTCATTAATATTTTATGCTTGTTCTAGGACAGAATTACATTTTCAATTTCAGTTAGTCCTCCTGAGATTAATATAAAATTTTATTGTTTATTGAAAATTTATGTAAGTTAATAATTACTATAACTGTTAATAAATATTTATTTATAAATTTTTAGTAAAAGATTGAGAAAAATGAGAAAAAACAAAGCATAATCTTTAGTACAGGTAACCCCCATATAAGATGGGAGTTACGTTCCAAAAAATTGCCATGTTATGCGAATCCGTATTATGTGAAACAAAGAACTAGTACGAAAAGGAGGGTTAGGTTTCAAAAATTAAAAAACATGCTATTATATTTTCATAATTAAGATAAATATCTTTATTAAAATTTTCTTAAGTGATACATAGTAATATAAATAAAACAATGTTTTCTTTGTCATCACTAAAAGCACTATTAACCAAGAGCATTTTCTTTTTGGCAAGTTATCCTTATCCTCTGAGCATTTTTCTGCATTATCTTCAGATCCATGCTCTACCTTTTGCAAAAGTATGTAATTTTAGATTCCTTCTTCTAGTTAAAAGATCTTTATAAATTTCCTTATATGGTGCTAAACACTTATGAAGAATAAAGCAAGTATGGAATAAGGGAAAACATCTGGCAACATCAAAAGCATAGAGATCTGCAACATTGAAACAATTTTTGAGAAGGACCATGTGTATCGACAGAAGGCGAGAAAAGAAAATTTACATACTTATGTACTAATAGTTCACGAAAATAATAATTTTCGTGAACTATTAGTACTTAAGTATGTAAAAATTTATTACATTTCATGTTGTACGAGGGTTTTACTCAATTCTCAAACCGTGTCAGAGTGAATTCGTGCTATAACAGTACCGTGTTATACTGGGATGGTTTCAGTTCTTGAACCATGTTAGAGTGAATCTGTGCTATAGAAGTGCCGTGTTATACGAGGGGTTACCTGTACTAAAAATTCCCCCATCAAGCATGACAGAATACTTTTTATGAGAAAGTAGAGATTGAAGAATTGAGAAGAGCTTTAGGTCGATCTTGACATTGTGATGCTGTTTCTGCAGCCCTTGACAAAGCCATTCTTATTCAATGTTGCTCATGTTGGACTTCAGTCTTCAGGGATCTCAGTTATTCTTATTATTTTAGATCTAGAATTTACTTGACAATTTTACTCTTGTGTTTTTCTGTAAGCTTTTTTTTTTATTTTGACAAAATAGCTAGTTTTTTTTAATTTTAATTCCACATTGTTAAAACAAAGATTAATTGTATGTATGTTAGTTAGATGAGCAATAACACTTCTTAAATAATGGGCTTGTTAGATTGTTACTTTGATTGGATAATAGATGTCACATGGTCACTATATAAAGATTTTTTTAAAAATTTGTTATAGAAATGACATAATGAGACTATCATTTTTAATGTTTAAATTTTAAATTTAATAAGTAAGTTTAAAATACACCATTTGCTAAAATATTTTAAAATGCAGCTTGAGGGAAATTTCCTTGTCAAACATGAACTAAATGAGGTGACTGACATCATTGCAACATAAATGCAATCACTGATCTGAAATAGTTAAAACATTTATTCTGCAGCTAATATTTTGCAAAATGAGTAGCCTATACGTTCCATCAGAACATAAAACGAATATAACCAAAATTTCATCTTGATTGGACAAAAATTGCAGGAGTTATAAAGAATTCATACATACATACACAACACACACACCATGGCTTTTATATTATTAAAGAAATATATATTCATTGCTAAAGATTTTGCTGTTATGTTGTTCATTTCTTAATGATATAGTCATAATTCTGCAGAGTTATTATTTTAATAAAATTGTGTTTGAGAAAGTATTTGCTATACTGTATGATGAAATAAGATAATCATGAAGATAAAACTATAAAGTTACATATTTAAATATTTTTTGTACTAAGAAAGCACTGTTGTAATTTTATAGTGAGGACAAATTTTTCATAATGTTAGAATATATATAACATTCTAACATTTGTTGACTGGCTAGTTCACATGTTTTTATTAATATATGTTAGACTTAAAAATCAAAAGTGCTCAATGAGCATAAAAATTTACCAGAATATGTTGTGATTTTACGGAAACAGCTACAACAAGAAATTTCACATCCTGGCTGTTTATAAAGGGTTTTTACATTTTAAAAAATGCCATGACATGAAATTTGTGTTGTGACTGTTAAAAAAAAAAAAAGACCATATGTGCATTTCAGCATTATCAACATACCATAATACATAATAGTAGATGTATAACACTGCCATATGGCATTAAAATCTTTTTTATAATGATACAAGTATTTTCAACAATACAAAATCATTGTCATCAGGCTAACAAATATAGAATAGAACAAGAGAAGAGAAATGAAATGAAATGAAATTTTTATGATGAGTCTGTGGTGCATCATGAATGCATGCTGTAAAAATCGAGAGTTCCATTACCCCTTTTGTTTTTGTTTGCATATTATTTCAAATTCTGTTCTTTCTTATATTCATGAGCCTCAAATCTTGTTGTGAAGTTTAAATGTTTGGATTATTTAAATTTTGAGAATGTTCTAGGCCTTCTGCATGTAGTGATGTTCCATTCTGCATTTATTAGCCTGATAACAATGATTTTGTATTGTTGAAAGTACTTGTATCATTATAAAAAAGATTTTAATACTGTCTGACAGTGTATACATCTAGTATTATATATAATTTTCCATGGACTTTGAAATACTATTTGTCTACCATAACACATTGGTGCAGAAACATGATGTATTTTATCATACACATACAACAACTAGCTATCTTAACCTTATTGGAGAAGACCAGTGTAGCCCAATTAGGAGTCAACTCATTCATTGATCAGTTTTGATCTGATATGACATCAGCATATAAAAGGAAACTCAACTTTGTTATATTTTAATTTACTTATTTTTGTTCAATTATTTATGTTTATTTTGAGAATTTTGTTTAGTTTAGGTTATTTCAAACTCTTGACCAAACAAATGAAAAAGTAAACTAATCTTATCCAAATCACTTTTTGTCTGTTGACTTATTTATTATGCTTCATGCTAGTACACTTTTCATGTAGGTGGACTTGTCACACTGGATGGTCATGGAACAGAAAGGAAATGAAAAAAGTGTCTCAATTTCTGTATATTTATTGCGAAATGCATTTTGAACATATCAGGTCCCTCATCAGTCACTATACATAGATTTTGATAATCCATACAAAATCTGAATTTGGTGAGTTTATGTTGTATAATGGTGTCACAACAGTAATTTAAAAATGTTCAGTACATCATATTTTTCATTGCTTTAACATTGCCATTAGGTATAGGCCTGTGTTTTTGTTTATTTTTTATTTTTATAATTTTTAACAAATAAATGAAAACATAGACCTACAGCTACATGAATCTTGGGAAGGTTTCCTGACAGATGGGGAAGGGGGAAAATAAACAAACCAATGCATATTTGTAAGCTGGAGAGAAACACACCCAAAGGCAATGTTAAAGGAATGTAAAAATGTGATGTACTGAACGTTTGTAAATTACTGTTGTGACATCATTATACAGCACAAACTCACCAAATTCATATTTTGTATGGAATATTGAAATCTATGTATACTGACTTATGAGGGACCTGATAGGTCTGAAATGCATTTTGCAATAAATACATAGGAAATGAAAAAAGTGCCTCAATTTCTTTCTGTTCCGTGACCCTCCAGTGTGTTAACTCCACCTACATGAAAAGTGCACTAGCACAGAACATAATAAATAAACCAATCTTATTGTTTAGTCTGTTTTTCAGACACCATGAGTCACTTCTGGAAGGAAGAGTAAAAGATAAAAATAACAACATTGAAATGAATAAAAAATAAAGCAGAAAGCTATTTTATTCACTGATGAAGTAATTGTTACAGCATTGTCAGAACTAGAGTCAAGGTGTGACTATGCAGATGCAAGCAAGTGAATTTTCCAAGCAAGTAAGAATATTTGGCAAGAAGAGGTGATGACATTTTGTGCTCTTGTTTATTATGAATAAATGAGAGCGAGAAACAGAGCACAAAACATCATCACCTCTTCTCATCACACATTCTCACTCGCTTATGTCTGCATAGTCCACCCTCACTACCAGCAAGGAAATATGAAAGAACTAGGATTTGAGTAACATGTAAATGATGTAATGTCATACTGATTGGTATAAAAGAACAGTTACAATGTGGCACAATTGAGGAGAGGATTGCAAGCCTGCTAAATAAAGATTGAAAATGGATTAATTATAGTATTGCTGTGGTGTTTTTGCTTTGGAAAATTTGTATGTAGTAATTGTTATCACAATTGTATTTATTTTAAACTTTATTCAAGCAAGTCACAAGCTGTCATTATCTAAAAATGGATTAATGAAGCAAAAACAAAACTGAAATTTGGTTGTTATCCATTTCATTTTGGATAAAATGAGGAGAAAATTTGGGGTTTTACTTTAGCTGGATAATATGCAATTTTTCAAATTTAGGTTGCATAAATAAAAACAAATTTTCTTTTTTAAAGAAACTAGAATTTATTATTTCTCTATAAATCATTTCACAATAAACTAGAAATACAACTAAATCAAAATGAATTATTTATATTTGTAAATCTTCTTCCGATGGCGATAATTATGATTAATTTTTTTTAAAGACAAAGAACCCGAAACAACCCCAAGAATGTATGATGGGAAATAGATGTCCGTACATCACCAGTTCCTGTTTTTTAAAAATGTTTACATTTTTAATTGGATATATGTTTGTGTTTTTAAAAGACTGTTTAGCAGCCAGTAGCCTAAAAGGGAAGGTCAGTCGCCAAAAGTGTAATGTCTGGAACACAAAGTTAATAAATGTTGGTTACTCTTTTTGGGAAGGACTATTGTCTTCAAAAAAATTAATATGAATTATTTATACTTGTATATTATCAATAAAACAATGAAAAATGATAGCATTGTTGTATGCAAGCAAAGTTTATTTATAATTTTTACAAATTCTTAAAAAGTTTTTGCTTTTATGCAATTATTTTGAAAAATTGTGAGATTTATAGAATCATGTTGATTTTTTTTATAGTACTAACAACAAAAACTGAACTGATTTTATTCAATATAAATAAAAGCAACTACATATATGATATTACACAAACCTTACAAATTGAATAGAGTCAGAAATGTAGAACATTACTTTTTTACATTGAATACATGTTCAAATTTCAATTTACATATTTGAACATATAAGTATCCCTCATATAACACAGTAGTTACATTTTGAAAAAGTGTCATGTTATGAGAATCTGTGTTGTATGAAACAAAGGACTAGTGCAAAACATAGGGTTAGGTTCCACAAGTTAATAATGAAAAATAATAATACATTTTTGTTAAGAAAAATGTGTTTATTAACCAATCAATTTATTTCTAATCAATAATTAACTAAATATCACAATTAAAAGTACTGTATTATATGTAAATACTAATTTTAGATAAATGAGGGAATTTTCTTTCTACAAAGTATTGTCATCTGAGCTTTTTAGATCAGAAATATGAGCAACATCTTCATTTTTTTATTTTTATCATAAAAAATTTTTTACAAATGAGAAAATAAAAATACATCATTAATCAAAAATTTTTATTCTAGTTGTTGCATTTGATCAATTGACTACTGAACAATCTTTTTTTCCAGAATTTGTGTTTGAATGTGGAATTGTTCAAGTTGGAAACAGTTCAAGTACCAAGATAATGCTGTATTTATTCATCACTTTTATGAATGATTACTTACCTACAATTAAGAAAAGCTTAATAACACATACCTAAAAATGTTTAAATAAACTTTACTAAGTACAGAGAGTAATCTATAAAAACAAAACACAGTGACAGTTTTAAAAGCTAAAGTCTGAAAGAAACGACAACAACACCTGGTTGATAGCAAAGCTAGGACAAGGAAGAGAAAATTGTACTATCAGTTTTCATCAAAGTAAACCTGACAAAAGGCAAAAAACAAATTGAAAATTTCAATATTCTAAAATTCACAGGCAAATTTGAGACTATATATGCATGCTTACTTGAATAAAAATATATTGAATAATGGAATTTTCAATTAAAATTTGTGAAATTTTGTATGGAGGATTTCTCAAATTCTCTAACCTTGTTAGATCAAAACTGTTGTTGAGATGCTGTGTTATACAAAGGATACCTGTATATTCAATGTAAAAAATGATTATAATGTATTTACTGTAAAAAACTAAACATTCTAGTTTTTTAGTTTTTAGTTTAGGAATAGAACATCTTTGTAACAAACTCTGTTGCTTGACTTTTGGACATTTGACACGCATGTACAATTTTAAATACATCTGAAAAATTGAGGGCTGCCTTTTATATATGCAATCTCTGACAATAAAGTTTGGCGAATGAGTTCAGAATAGGAAGGTATTAACATTATTCAGCAAGCATACCTTACTGTTTTTCAAAGTAGTCCCCGTCCATGTCAATACACTTTTGAGAATGAGTGTCCTTAAAACTGCAGGCAAAGTTCTCTTTTGAGATGGCATTCAGCTCCCTTGTCATATTGCATTGAATGTTGGGTATGTCAGCAAATCTGTTGCCTTTTAGGGCAATGGAAACAAAGTAATCTGGGGTAACCATATCAGGTGATTATGTGCAGTGCACAAAGGGACACAACTCTCTCTATCTAGTGTCTGCTGCACAACTGGCTGTATGGGGTTCAACACTGTCATTGAGAAGGAACCATGAGCCTACCTCAGTGTACTAGGGGTGTAGAAACTCGTGATTCAGTGTAGAATGACTTTATTTTGTGAATTTGTCAAACTTGTAGCAGAACAGCAAATTCATTTGTTGCTCTATCTTCATTACTCAACCAAAACTTCAGTTTCTGCTGCTAACTGAACATTATGTGCCTTGTAACCATGTTGCTTTTTTCCTTTATCTGTCTTGCTTGGCCTCTTGCAGTGCACAGTGCTGTTTGCACAGTGTTGCCACAACAGCATGCCAACATCTTTTACTGAACTTTATTGTCAAAGGTTGTATGTGTATATATATATATATATATATAAACAAATTAGCTTTTATGTGATTAATAATAATATCTGTGCTGTTCATTAATATCAAATTCTTGACATAAATATAAAAATGTTTTTTATTTAAATAGATTATGAGTTTATATATATAATAAAAATTTAGATTTGAAAATTCAATTAATAACAGTTATAATTAGAATGAAATAATTATACAGTATTAAACTGTACTCATTTTTTGTCTTGAACATTTTCATTTGTGAAAATGAATTTTTTCTGTTTGACATTATCACATTTCTTTGGAGTGCCTTCTTCATGCAGACAGACTTTAGACAAGATTTTATAAATTTTATAATTTGTTTACAAAAATAGTAAAGTAAAATGTTGAAAATTCAGAGCATCAAAAATCTTAGTTTGGCCATTAAAAATAAATAAAACTGTTAACCCTTTCAATGTGTTACTTCATTATTGATGTTCTTTTGGCTTTGCATTGTTGATGTTTTAACATTCATTCAGAATTTTTAATTTTGAAATTATGATTAGTGTATTTTTTTAAATACAGTAATTCTGTAAATTATATTTTGAATCTTTGTAAGCATTCCTACATTCATTGTGAAATACTGGCTTGAACTTGGAACACTTAAACTTGAATTACACTGTATTTGGAATTTACAATACTTAAAATGCTAATTTACACACACATTTGAAAATCTGCATGGGGTCCAGCCTTAATTATTTTAGACTTTCAACACTTCCACTGTATAAATTAATTTTATCACTAACAAATTCACATATTTTTGTTTTAACTGTCATTATAAATTTATTAGTTTTATTACATGCAATTCCCATGTATCATTTTGATTATACTATTATGTTAAATCTCAACTGCTATTCAAACATTAAGTGTTTAGATAACAGATGAGATGTAATAAAGCCACTATAAAACTTAAGACAATTAAAGTAAAAAGTAAATTTGATGTAAAGCTTTAAAAAAATTTTAGAAATATTTTATTAGTAAATAAATCTCTTTCTCTCTACACTTTTCACTAACATTGATAAAATTTATAAAAGACATCTTTAAAACTTTTACTATAATAAGTAATATTAACAATATCATTTAGATAACCTAATTTCTTTCATCTACCACTTATAAACTTGAGATTTTATCATAGTAACAGATTTATTAGCTTAGTCTCAGTAAACATTTTTATAGTATATATAATTATTTTTTAATTTTCATTGAAAAATAGAACATTTGATGTTATCCTAATGTTTTGTTATAAAAACAGAACTTTATTTTTAATATGCTTCTTATTATTTCAACATTTATAGAATGGCTAATTGTACATTGCACATTTAAACAAAAGATATGTAGTCTAATACTGTTATAGTATTATCTATAGCAATATATTTGTATATGTTTTATATTTAATTTCATAAAGAATTAATTAATTATTTTTAAAATTTTAAGTACTGTATTCAATTTGAAGCAAATGTCTTTGAAGTTACTGTATGTGATTTTTGTTTATTTATTTTATTTATGAATTTAACAATTATTATTTTTAAAAAATAGATATGCAGTTTTCCCGTCTTTACTCGATCTGGAGAAGTGACCATCAAGCTTGAATTTATTCAGTCAAATTTAACAATTACAAAACAAGAATTAGAAAAATTGGCATTCTTTCATAAATATACATTTGCTGATGTTTTAAGATTAGAGAAATATCCAATGTTGTTCAATCCTAATGAAGCTAGGCATTCATTTTTCATCATTCCTGTTGATAAAGGTAAAATATTTAGAAGTTTTAAGATTAAATAAAAATTAGTAAAATTAATATATTAAAAAATATTTAATTTTCAGATCCTGATGATGGAAAACATAAAATTAGTTGGGAATTTGTAGATATTATTAATAAACAAAAACAAGTTGTTGCTAGAAAAATTCCTGAAGAAGAGAGAAAAAATTTTATGTTTTGTGTGGAAAAGTACAAGGATGCTGTTGTAATGCCCTGGTATAGAAACTTAGATAAGCCACAATTTTTCTATGTGGCTGAGATTTGTGAAAATTTAACACCAAAAAGTGATTTTCCTGATGCTGGTTATGAAACATTTGAAGGTTATTATAGAAATAAATATGGTATTAATATAATGAATGGCATACAACCTCTATTAGATGTAGATCATACTTCTGCAAGACTGAATCTTCTAACTCCTAGATATGTTAATAGAAAAGGAGTTACACTACCAACTAGCAGTGAACAAACTAAAAAGGCTAAAAGAGAAAATTTACAACAAAAGCAAATATTAGTGCCTGAACTATGCATTATTCATCCATTTCCTGCTTCATTATGGAGAAAAGCAGTTTGTTTACCTTGTATTTTATATCGTGTAAATTCTTTATTACTAGCAGAACAGTTACGTTTAACTGTAGCTAAAGAAATTGGGGTTGGGACTTCAGAGATGAAATTAGGATTTGAATGGCCTATGTTAGATTTTGGATGGACATTAGCAGATGTTTTAAAAGCTCAAGCAGCAGCTGATGAAAAAGAAGCTCAAAAAGTGCAAAATATAAAACCTAATGAAATTATTAGTTCATCAAATTTGTCTGGTGAGAGAGAGAACTTTCCTATTGGAACTTGGTCAAATGAAATGGCTGGTAATAAAAACAATGGAAGTGACTTTGTTATTGATACATTTGATCCAAGTAAGGTTCATATTCCAGATGATGATGATTTTTTGGCTGATCAAGAAGTAAGTAAAATTCAGTTTGATGACATTACTGGAAATGTGTCTAATTTTGATATGTGGGGAGCTATTAATCCTCCAGAAGTAAGTAGTCCTGAATTATTCCAAATTAGGTATGGTTCACCTAGTAACTTTGAAGGAACTGGTTGGGATTCAGAATGGGATACAGAAACTGAAGATGCAAATTTTTATTCTCTCAATCTTCCAGGTTTGGGTTATATTTCTGCTCCAGGGGTATTTAATATGGAAGGTCTTTCTCTTGATTTAGCTTCATGTAGAGATGATGATCTTTGGGACAGTATGGATGAAGATTCTATTTATGATGAAACTGAACTAGAAAAATTATCTCCAATTCCACAGTTAACATTCCAAAACGGAGAAGCAGAAAATTTAATATCAAATAAATTAACTGCATCTGAATATGATGTAACGATTTATGAATCAGAGTGGATTTCTTCAAACTGTAATATTGAATTAGATGTTACAAATTCTTCTCTAGATAATTCAGATGATGAATTAGAAAAACCAAAAGAAATCAGCAAAGTCATTGATCCTTCTATTTCTGAAACTCCAAACGAAATAACTGATGATGATGATGATGATCTCAATTCTGAAAATAAATTTTTACAGAATGATGTCAGTGATATTCCTATAAATCTTTTGGAAAATGAGTTATGCATTATCGATCATTTTCATAACAGTGTGTCTACAGAATCAACTCTTGCTTTTGGTGATTTACTCCCAGATAGAGAAAAATTGCAGTTTTGTGATAAAGATATTTTTCGTGTTCATTTTGATGAAAATATTGATCTAAATCAACATAATGGTCCTAGTCCAAGTATCATTTTGCAAGCATTAACTATGTCTAATGCTAATGATGGTATAAATTTGGAACGATTAGAAACAGTTGGTGATTCATTCTTAAAATATGCTATAACTGCGTATCTTTTTTGTACGTATCCAAATCTTCATGAAGGAAAGTTATCATATTTACGCAGTAAACAAATAAGTAATCTTAATTTGTATAGATTAGGCAAGAAAAAGGGTTTAGGAGAATTAATGGTAGCAACAAAATTTGAACCTAATGATAATTGGTTGCCACCTTGTTATACAGTACCAAAAGGTTTAGAACAGGCTCTTATTGAATCTGGAACACCATCAGGTCATTGGAATATTGGAACTTTAGGACAGGGTTTAAATCTAATGAATGAAGAACAAATTCGCCAATGTGTCTTAAATAAAAAGTGCCAAGAAAATATTGTTGATGGACTAGTACCAAATCAAGAAAATCAAATACCATACATCCCTTATAATTTACTTACACAACATAGCATACCAGACAAAAGTATTGCTGATTGTGTAGAAGCTTTAATTGGTGCTTATCTCATATCTTGTGGTCCAAGAGGTGCCTTACTTTTTATGTCGTGGTTAAAATTAAGAGTATTACCTAATACATCCAATCAATCTGATAAAAATAACATTTATGGAAATCTTGAGCCACCTCAGTCACCTTTACTTAAACATGTACCAAACAGTGATAAAAAGTTAGACAGATTACTTTCTGGTTATGCCTCATTTGAGAAAAAGATTGGATATAATTTTAAAGATAAAGCTTACTTATTACAAGCTTTTACACATGCTTCATATCACTATAATCAGTTAACTGACTGTTACCAGAGATTGGAATTTTTAGGTGATGCTGTTCTTGATTATCTCATAACTCGACATCTTTATGAAGATCCTCAGAAACATTCTCCAGGCACATTAACTGATCTCAGATCAGCATTGGTCAACAATACTTTCTTTGCATCTTTGGCTGTGAAGTATGATTTTCATAAATATTTCAAAGCCATTTCACCAGGCCTCTTTGGAGTTATTAACAAATTTGTGGAAATGAAAAAGAAAAGTTCTGGTTTTGATGACTGTGAGGTGAGAATTCTTTTAATAAATTTACAATTTGTATTTGTATAATTCAATATTTGAATGTTTATTTCTGAAATATCAATAATTAGATGGCATTGCTAGAAAATAAATTTTCTGATTTCTTGATCTTGAAAAAAAAACAAATTTCTGTTTTTTTTTAAAGTTTCAAAATTAAAAAGTATGTTTTATACAGATAACAAAAATGAAGATAAAATATAACATACATAGCTCATAACAACTAAAGAATGCTGCTTAAAGCAAAATATTACTGTGATCAAAAAGTATTGAGAATAGTTCATTTAAACTGTGCACATGCAAGAGAATGCTGTCATTGTTTTTCTCATCATTTGGTACAAATTTCATCAACATCTAGCAGCAATCCTATGTCATCATCTGTTTTCATTTGCAAATAAATTATTTGTCATGTGTGTAAAGAATTTTTCACCAGCAATTTTTCAAAATCTTATAAATAATCAAGCAAAGAACATGCATTAAATTTTGTTTTCACAATGGAATTATTGCTACAAAAATGTTCAAAATATTGCAAAAAGCCTTTGGTAACAATAGTCTATCAAAAACAAGTGTTTTTGAGNTTTTAATTTTTGTTTTTTTTTTTCTTTTCTATTAAGTGTAAAGATTGGTTGTGTTTTGTGTTTGATGTCAATTGAAAAATGGATAAGCAAAATTAGCATTTTTACATATGCTTTTTTATTTTAAAAAGGGCAAAAACACAGTGCAAACTTTAAAAACCTATTTGCGGTGTATGGTGAGAATGCCTTGAAAGAACATGTACCAGAAGTGCTTTGCAAGATTTATTCTGGAGATTTTTCTGTCCAAAACAACTATTCTTGGGCCAGCCAAAAGAGATCAACACTGACAAAGCAAAGGAGCTAATTGACACCAATCCACATTACACAACTCAGGAGAGATTGTAGGTATTCTCCAAATATCAAAATCATCTGCATCATTTTGGCTACATTAGCAGGCTCATTGTTTGGGTTCCATATAAATTGACTGAAACAAATCTCTGAAGAGTGCATTTCTGTCAGCAATTCACTAAGAAAATATGAGAAGAGAGTTCTATTTCTGAAACAGATAATAATGAACAATGAAAAATGGATACTGTATGACAGTATAGTGCAAATGGTCATGGGGCTGTGTGGCAAATCACTATAAATCACTTCAAAGGCAGTGTTTCACCCAAACAAGATCATGTTCCCAATTTAATAGGACTGGAAGGCCATTTTGTTCTGTAAACTGTTTTTGAAGAACAGAACAATCAATTTGGATGTGCACTGTGGCAAGCTGGACAAATTTAATGCAGCTATCCACAAAAAGTGTCTGGAATTTGTAAACTGCAAGAGCATTGTCTTCCATCAGAACACCAGATCACAATCATCTTTGAAAACATGGCAAAAATTATTGGAAATGGATTGGGAGGTCTTACCAAATCATCCATATTCACCAGATATTGCCCCTTTGATTACCAGCTGTTTTATTCTCTTCAGAATTCCTAAATGGGACAGCACTTTGTTACCAAGGAAGGCATCAAATGGCATTTGGAAGTTTTAGCCAAGAAAGGCAAAGTTGTTTGAGCAACTTTTATTACAGAATTACAGAGCTGCCCAAAAGATGGCAAAAGTTTGTAGATCAAAACAGCTTGTACATTATTGAATAAAATTATTTCTTTCCCTAAAAAAATTGTCTTTCATTTAAATGTTAAAAAACTGCATGGACTTATTGACCATCCCTATATTTTATTAGTAGACCAACTTGTAAAGATACTTTATGTGTAATCATTGAATGACACATTAAATTTGTAATTTTTTATATTTATTTATGGTGAAGATAAAACATTTTGAAATTTTAACTTATTTAAATTTACTTTTATTTTGATTTATTAAATGTATTATGTATACAGGGATGTAACCAGATATTTCTGACAAGGGAACTGTTGGAGTGTCTTTTAATAAATATTAATAAAATTTAGTTAATAATTACATTAAAAGTATACAAACTCTATATTAAATTTATAATATTCTCTAAAACTATTAATCAGGGTTAATAGCAATCAAATGTCATACTATTTTATATTAGTTTAACACAAATATGCAAATTTTTAGTAGTGAAAGAGTTGCAGAGGAAGATGACAATACAGTAGAGCGTCGATTTTCCGAATCAATTGGGGACTGGGGTTGTTCGTATAACTGATATTTCAGATAACCGATTTATGTATGAAAAAATAGTTTAACGTATTCGATGTTAAAATTTTTATCCGTTGCGTGTCGCTTCGCGTTGAATTTTCGTCGATGTTAAACCTAACAAAGACTATTGTATTGTTAAAAATTATTTTTTTATTTTGTACAAACAAAATAAATATATTGAAAAATATAAAAACAATAAAAAATTATACTTCAGATGCTAATTTAGTATCAAAAAGTGAAATTTTTGAGTAGCCCAAGACATAGCCAAAGATTGAAGCGCCACAGCACTGGCGAAAATTTAAATTTGCCGACTGGAATTCTTTTGGATGATTGATGTTTCGAATGATTGATTTTAAGAAAATCGACGCTCTACTGTATTACATTTAGAATTTTCGAAAATGGAAGAAGCGTTAAATGTAAACATTCAAAATATTATAGCAGAATTTAAATGTTTATGTGATAATGTCTGGTCTATAGAAAAGATTTGTAGGTCTATTATTTTAGACATTGATAAACAGGTAGTTAAAATGATTTTTAATTAATGTATTTTAAGTAATTATGTAATTAGAGATGACAGTTTTGTCAATTAAGTTTCCAGCTAGCGATTTCTGGGTTGCTAAATTTAAAAAAGAATACAGATTAGTATCTTGAAAAATTACAAAACTTGTAAATAAAACAGAAATAGTAAACAAAAAGGATATTTTAATAAAAGCTGCACAATTTCAAACAACAGTAAAAAATTTGTTGCCATCTTGTTCGCGTAACTTCATATTTAATATGGATCAGTGTGGTTTTTCTTATGAAATGATTTCACCAAGAACACTTGCATATAAAGGGAAAAAAATGCTATTGGATTATATATATCTAATCTTTTATATAACATTTATTTGAGTTTATTCCTTATTCTACTCTATAAATGTAATATTGTTGTCTTCCTCCGCGACCCTTTCACTACTAAAAATTTGCATATTTGTGTTAAACGACATTTAATTGCTATTAACCATGATTAATAGTTTTAGTGAATATTATAAATTTAATATAGAATTTGTATACTTTTAACATAATTATTATCTAAATTTTATTAATATTTATTAAAAGACACTGCAACAGTTCCCTTGTGAGTGTAGATCACCTGCATGGCTGATGGTTTGAGTAGATCTAGTGTAGATTGGTAACCCATAATAAAAATGCATTAGACTAGAATCATTAACAACAAATTATTGTTCAAGGAGCTGCCATGTCGGTAAGGTAGCTTCTTGCATGTTCTATGCAAATCACATGCAAACCATAATGATGCTCAATAAAAAAAGAAAAGGCCGAACAAGAACAAGTATAGAATTTTATTCTTCTTTACCACATAGTTGTTCATGTAGTCTAATATTTGAGTCTGTTTTTCTGTTTTATCCAGGTCAACTGCTTGTGACATTTTTTTTAATGCTGTTTGCTTTTAAACTTAAGTGGTGAAGCAGTAGTAGCTGGCAGAGAGTAAGGAGCAGAAGAGCAATAGTGTGGAAAATGCTGCTCCTTGTCACCCTATCTGGCTAAATCCCTGTAAAAAATAAATTTTATATTCTAATTAAAACAGTAGATATTCCTTATACTAAATAATTGAATTTTAAAAATTATTTTTGAATCACTTACAATATTCTGGGACAAATTTATATTATATTCTTGATTTCTGATTTTAATTTGTGAAAAAATATTGCCAAATTTAATATTAAAACAAATTTGAACTATAATTAAATTTATTGACATGTAAATATGTCAGTCTGTTCAGTGCAAAAGATAAAATATTTCTCCAATGCATATGATATTTTTATTATATTATTAAATATTAATTATTGAAGTAGTATTTAACTAGTACAGTAGAAGTTTGTAAATCCAACACCCACAGAACTAGTGATGTTGGATTATCAAAAATGCCAGATTATTGGACATTTTTGAATTTTTGCAAAATTCTATAAGTTATGTGCAATCTGAACATTGCTATACATTTTGTATCAGCACATGTTACTGTATGCTGTATGCTAAACACTTAAATTTTCATGTTTAGATTTGTTTGTTAAACTACTAAATCATTCTTCTTCTTCTGGTTCCATATTCATTTCTGAATGTAGGATTAGTATTATTATAACAATCTCAATTGTGCTTCACATGCGAGTTCTTCTTCTTTCTTATTTTTCCATTCACATATATTGCCTAACCAACTTTTCCTTCTTTTTCCTGGGCTTCTTTCCCCACAGATTTTTCCCTCTAAAATATTTCTCAAAATTTCATATTTACTTCCTCAGATGATGTGGCCAAAATACCCTGTCTTTCTTCTTTTAACTGTATTTAAAACTTTTTTTTTTCCCCATTCTTTACAAAACTTCATTATTTGTTATTCTGTCTGTCCAAGATATTTCTAAAATTCTTCTGTATAACCACATTTCGAACGCTTCAAGTCTGTTTAAAATATTTTTATCTAAGGTCCACATTTTTACTCCATAAAACAACTGACATCACATAGAACCTTAATATTCTAACTTTAAGATTTAAATTAAAATCTTTGCATTTGAAAAATTTCTGCATTCTGATAAAAGTACCCTTGGATTTTCTATTCTAGATTTAATTTCTTTAATGCATCTTCCTGTATGTTAGTTCCCAAATACTTAATTGATGAAACTCTATCAATTGTTCTGTTTTGTATCTGCAATGTTACATTATCTATATTTTTCTTGCATGAAATAAGTAGTTTTGTTTTCATCTTATAATTCATCTGAAGTCCGTAGAATTTACTTATTGAATTAATCTTTTCTATTA